ATGAGGTCTCGCCGCCCAGGCGGGTCTCGAACCCGCGGGCTCAGGCCATCCACTCCCCTCAGCCTCCCAAAGACGCGGGATCACAGGCTGAGCCACCGAGCCTGGCAGACTTCATTTCTACAAGTACCAAATAATTTCAATAAAATAATATGGTTCAGGACATGCTGGTTACAACGCTTTGAATAGGTAAGGAAAAGGCAACAGAAAATTTGGACATGTCCACATAAGAATGCCCAAGATGACATAATGAAAATATCACTTACAGATAAGAGAGACTATTGAGCTATAATTGGGAAGAGGGTTTCTATAATCCCATTAGCTTTAAGAAAATATCCCAAATTAATAGTTGTCATGAAAAAAATATATCTTCATTGATATTGACAACTAATACTTCATCAATCTCATATATAGTATAAACCAAGCACGTTTAGAAAACGCCTCTGTGATATTGGCCTGCAAAGTGCCATCTAAGTAAACAGTGTGCTTGCTCTGTGAACATGCCTTTGAGACACCTCTGTGACCCATCCCTAGTAACTATGTGCTGATTCTGCCCTGGGTTGATCATTTATTTCTTCAGTGTAGGTTGTAGGTTCCTAATGCTTTTAAATAACGATGTAACCTAACATTTCCATTTTAGGCCACTTTCCAGAAATCTGCCTATCATATTAAAGTCAAGTCACATCAGAATGCTGTGTAGTCTATGGAGTGGATTCAAGACTAGGGGAAGTCCAGAAGGAGGGCTGTTGGTGGCTTTCACATTACCTTGTCTGAGCCCCAGATTTTCTTAAGCGCAACACAGGTGCTATAAAAATGCTTGCCACACTATCTGAAAAAGCTTAAATGAGATGCTGTCTGGGAACCATCTAAGCATGGCACCCGGTAGTTAAGACAGAGACTTCTACAAGTGGCAGTTGCTGCTGTTGTCTTATTATGATAACAAAATACCACCATAGCTTTAAAAGACATAAAAATGCTCTTGATTCCAAGTTCCATGGAACTTTTCCACGAAGTAGTTAGAACCAGGAATCTGAGGAGAGAAATTAATGAGACGTATAAGCCCACAGAAAAACTATACAAACAGGTTTCTGGCTTTTAGGTCTGCCAGAACAACAGCAAGAAAAACAAACCTTTAATGATGTTTCCTGTCATATTAATTGTGCTCGCAAAGATGAGCTAAGATCAAAAGAGTGCTCCCAACTAGAGGTGCTGAACAAATTCCAGTAATGAAAATAGTAACATTTCCAAAGGGCTAGGAACTTCGCTTCCCGACAGGCACCGAGAAGCCACAGGGTAGCCCTGAGTTTTTCCACAGCACTGTGATAGCTGATGGCTGAGCTTCTGCTGCCAGCCTGCTCTTTTTATTTGCTCTTTTGCATCCCAGGGTCCTCCTGGGGTGACATCCAACTGATAAAGTGATTTAAAAAAAAGGCCTTCTGGGAAAATGGCATTCCCTGCCATGGCGAACTTCACAGATTTGTTCACTTACAAGCCCCAGAGATTGCCGGGAGGTTTTTTGTCACCCTTTCCAGGTTTCAGTAGCTGTAAACAAAACCTGGCAAACCATCTCCCAACATGGAAGCAACATCACCAACACCAGCCACCTCAAGTAGGTAAGTGCTCCATAATGTCCACCTCGAAGCAGTTAGTAGTTCAGGATGTTCTCTCTGCTCACTCTGGTCCACACTCCTCTGTAAATGGATGAGCACTGTGTTCTGAAGAC